TGGAATTAATAGGAGAAAATGAAAAAATGGAAACAAAGTCTTTGCAAATAGGGAGGGATGGAGGGGTTGAAGGGAGGGGAGGGGAAGGGGGAAGAATAAGAACCAAGAGAGATTATGTAAAGGTGCACATTTCCAAAGATGAATAATCATTGTATTGTATACCTAAAATGTATCAATAAAATAATATTTTTTAAAAATCATCAACTACCTATATACTAACAAAATCAATGGCTATTCTTCAGTCATCATCTTTCAGCATATAATTTTATGGTTTGCACATTTCACTTTTAATTCCAAATAATACTTATTCTAATTATTGTACCTTGTCCTGTTTTACCCTGTCCTGTTTTTTTTTTTAATTTGTTTTGTTTTGTTTTCTGTTTTATTGAACATTTTCCTATGAAATGAGAAATGTAGCTGGGCATGGTGGTTCATGCCTGCAATCCCAGTAATCCGAGAGGCTGAGGCAGGAGGATCATTGCAGGATCAAGGCCAGCCTGGGGTACATAGTGAGTTCAAGGCCAGCTTGAGCTACATGGCAAGACCCTGTCTCAAAAAAAAGGTAAGCCAACAAACAGACTATCCAGAGAAATGCAGTTTATACAACTGGTGAGCAGAGTAAATATAATGGAATCAACAGGAAGTAAAATGGGGAAGATAAGGAAATGCTGGCTAGACAGTGGGTTTGGGGCTAGGGATTTAGATATTCTCAGCAGATAATACATAGTCATTAAAGTTTTTATACAACAAATAATCTGTGCTAGGCCTCTAGACTACTGAAAGATGGTTCTGCAGCAGGTATAAAATTATGTGTGGGCAAGGGGTAAGCATTAGAAAAACAGGAGGCAATGACACTATGTGGGATGCTTATTATAGTAGTAAAGACAGGCTGGGTTCAGTGTCACACTTGCATAATCCCAGCTACTCAGAAGGCTGAGGCAGGAAGATGGAAAGTTTGAGGGCAGCATGGGCAAATGAGTGAGACCCTGTCTCAAATTTTAAAAATTAAAGGGCTGGGCATGTAGCCCAATGGTAGAGTGCCAGTACTAGGGGGAAAAAAACCCTAAAATATAGTCAAAATTGGGAACATAAAATAGTGTTGTACTGCTGAAAATGGAAAGGTGGGATCAATGTTAATATATTATCACTAAACTTCAACCATTTGAGTTAACTTCTTACGAATAACAGAACTAAGTGCTATTCTAAACTGTGGATGGTGGTCCATGACTCTAGTCCCAGCTACTCAGGAAGCTGAGGCAAGAGGATCCCTTGAGTTTGGGAATTCAAGGCCAGCCTGGGCAACATAGTGGGATCTCATCTAAAAAAAAAAAAAAAAAAATGCTGCCCCAGGAAGAGATTTTAGACTTAAATGTTCTTAGTATTCAGTTTACATCAGATTTGCTGGAAGCTAGATAGCGTAATAAATATAGAGAGAAAATTCTCTCATATGTATGAATGATTATAGTGTTATCTCCTACACTCTTCTTTCCTAAGTAAACACTTTTGACAATCTTAGGTAACTGAAGCTTCTCAAAGAGTGAGGATCTGGAGGTACCTATTGGTCAGTCCTACTTTCATCACTGCCTCCAGCCCCCACACAGGCCTTCAATATATTAACGGCAAGAAAAAATGGAAATCTATGCAAAATAGGTGGGAAAGACAAACTCTCCCAAGTTAAACTCAGCCCCTTTTCTTTTTTCCAAAGGAAATGGTTGTTGATGCTATGAGGAGTTAAAACTGTAATAACACATGCCAGGGAGATGATGTCAGGGGAGGCATGGGAAGGCCCTTTCCAAGCATGAAATTCCTTTTTAGTCCCAAACGTTTCCTCTTTCAGTCTTACCTACACTCCAATCTCACTACGGAGGCAATTCCTCCAAACATTTCAGAAACAGAGTTGAGACCATAGAACTAATCTTTCTGCTTCAGCCTTTTTATTAACCAAGAGTAACTGAAGGCCATTAGAACTAAGGTTTTTTAGAAGTACATTAAATTATTGTGCAGAATTCCTTTTTCAAACCCACATTTCCCTCTTCTGTAACTATTTTAATTCCAAAGAAGTGAATGGAAATTTAACACTACATCCCAAGGAAGAATCTGTCTTTATTAGGCATTATACATTTGTTGACTGCATTCCTATATTTATCACCAGCCAAAAAGTGAAATAGAAAACTAGGATCATCATAAACTTCTCAGGAAGCATCTTTCCCCAGACATGAAGTATATAAGTATGTTTCAAAGTTAGGGCCGGGGATTTAGCTCAGTGGTTTCACTGCCTGCTGCGCAAGTTCAAGGACCCGAGTTCAATCTCCGGTACCAAAAAAAAACCAAATAACAAAGTGAAACACTCCTATTTTTTAAAGTCAACTAAATAAAATTAATATACTTTAATATAAGCAAGTCACAACAGTGGAGTACAGTTTTTCAAACAGATGTCACCAGCAATTATTTTTTATCCCACAAACTAGAGGTGATGACTACAGCCAACAGTAAATTTTGAAGTAAAAATTCTCTTTACTTAAAGAAAGCAGCAGATATTTATAAGTTGATTATGTTTTATTTTAGTTTCCCCCTAAGGGGAAAGATGATGCTGGGGATTGAATCTACAGTCCAGTACATACTAAGCCAGGGCTCTACCACTAAGCTACACCTCCAGCTCTATTTCCATTTTTTAAACATTTTGGACAGGTCCAAGAACTTTATTACATAGACTTATTGTGCTTGAGAAACTGAGATCTTTTCTTTTTCTGCGTGTGTGCGTGTGTGTGTGTGTGTGTGTGTGTGTGTGTGTGTTTGTTTCTAGGGACTGAACAGCGGCCTTCACACTGAGCTATTTCCCCAGCCCTTTTTATTTTTAATTTTAAAGCACAGTCTTGCTAAGTCAAGAAATTGCTGGGAGGCCGAAACTGAGATCACAATAGAAATGGTAAATTAGCTACTGTTAAAATTAAAACTCCATCTCGGCATTTTAAAAAAAGTTGTAAGGGCATATGTACAAAATTACTACTAGTCATTGTCCTTGAGGAGTGGGATCTGAGTAAAGAACTACAGAACACAAAGGGAATTTCATTTTCTAAACTTCTTTATGCTTAATTTAAAAACGGCTATGTCTTACATTTATCACTAAAAACTAACAGAAGTCATTTTAAAATTTTAGCCTTAGGTAAAAAAATGCACAAATTACATAAGTAATCACATTCAAAATACTCTTCTCCAGAGAAACAAATATATTAAGTCCTATATGTCAATGTCAAGACAAAGAACACTGCGATAATGCATTTGTTTAAATACACCCAACATTCACAGCCTCTGTGTACACATGGGGGTCACATACACAACCACAGAGTGATGCATATACACAGCATCCTGAGATGTAACACTGACCTGTAAGAACCCAAAGAATTCTTAATATGTACTTATATATCTACTTCCTCTCCTACCCTACCTACTGCTCCCAGTGTTTCCAGAATTGCTTCTCAAACCTTACAAGTTATGAGGAAAAGATATGAGATTTGAATCCAAATCTATAGCCACACCATTCATCTGATACCACACTAGATTTAGAAGTTGGTTAAATGTTTCCCATACTGAGAGAGGAGAGGGAGTAGAAAGCTGAGAAAAGAGACTTTTAGGTATCTTCAAATATATGAAACCCCAAAATAGGGAAAAATTAATTTGGGGGATTCATTTTACTTTATTTTAATGGGTTCTGGGTGACCTGAGAAAGCTGGAGGGAAACAATAAGGAAGGGAACCTATATGGTGCAGTACTACCTAGATTTGAAGAGTAAAGAGAGATCAAATAGTCCTCTTTCAAATATACATACATAATATATAATGTAATAATATATACATTATATTTAATGGGGATATTAGTGTAAGTACATATATACATATATTAATAACCAACAAATATATATGAATCTTTAGTTCTTAAGGCTATAGAATGAATAGCACACAAGCTAACATCCATAAACTAACACTAGTGTTGTGGGTCTATACACATTCACCCACTGCCCTGGTCAGATGCTTGTACTTAAATCTACCTGTAATGGTCTCTTTAGGTACACGGGAAAGTGGCAGGACTCTTTCCCTACCCTCTAACATTCCATTACATAAGCAAAAAGTCCCTAAATATCTGTAACATGTTTTTTCTTCAAAGAACAGCTACAATATCCAGAGAGTGAATAGAGTCCTCATGCTACAGCACGAAGTTCTCCTTCATCGGGATTGTGTGTCCTGAAATGCCAAAAATCTTCCACAGATAACCCTCAGTGAATGGGGACAGGACTGTCCATCTCTCCGTAGACTGTCTATGTGCCCCACCATAGTACAACTCTCTGGCAGCCATGGGTTAGTCAGGAAGACTCCAAGGATCCCTGCTAAGCCTGGCTGTCTGCAGAGCTCCAAGTATCAGCTCAACTCAAGACCCAAAGAACCACAAAGCTTTCTGCCTTAACCCCAAGTGTGTCATCTCTCAAGGCTAGACAGGGTGTGCTCAGTCCTGAAGAGCACACCCAGGTCTTGAGGATCTGCGAGCTTTCACTGACTCCCTGTGATTTCAGCTATCTGGTGGTTGGTGGTATGGATAGGAAGGAAGGAAGGGTATGGAAGAATGCAAGCAGTTAATGAAAAAGACAAAATAACCTTTGGGGGTGGGCCAGGAGACAGGGTCAGAGATGATATACTATCCCCATGGAGATCAGTACATCAGCAGGAAGTCTAACTAACTTCATTTCAAAGGATAACAAACTCAAGTTTGATTTGTTTTTAATTCCCCTGCTTTCTCCAGCCTCACAAAAGGAGACTGTAAATTCCTTTAACTCCACAACCAGGTGAGAGAAAGCACCAAAAGAAGTGGTGAAAAGGGAGACTGCACTGAGACAGGAGGAAGAGAGAGGAATCTGGTTCCCCTCTTAAAGGAGAATTTGAAAACCAAGGGCACTCCCGGATCCCCAGAAAAGGAAGTAGCTGGATTCCCCCAAAAGCGCGTTTCTCTAC